GTATGTTCATGTTCATTCGTTTAACTTTAATCGAACAAATGAATGACCACGAACATAAACGAACAAAAAATTTCTTGTTCGTGTTCATTCGTTAACTAATCTAGCTTGTTCGTGTTCGTTTATCTTCGTTCATTTAAATGATAAACGAACACAAATGAACGAACATTAACGAACGAATGTAAACAAACACAATAAACGAATGTAAATGAACACAAACGAATGAACGTAAACAAACATAATAAATGAAAAAAAAACATAAATCATAACAACAATAATCATATAAAATTCATTAGTATAAGTTGCAACTTCATAGTTAATTTGTATTTAATTGTTTTGGGCTTTTTTTATTTGTATTTAAAATTAATTGAATTTTAAAATTTTAAAGGGTATTAGATTAAAATTTATTAGGCCTTAATATTTTAAATGAGTATAGAGAGATTGCGCTAAATATAAATTAATGAACATAAACGAACCAAAGTAAATGAACATAAATGAACATAAATGAATGAACATATTATCGAACGTTCACAAACATAAACGAACATAAACGAACTTCTCACAGAACAGTTCATTGAACGCTTGATTCATTTATAGGCCTAGTCGTACTACTCGTATGCGCCACTTGGACTATTGGTGGGTTCATCACTTTCGCACCAATGAATGTCCAAACATTTCCAAAATTATATTGCTTGACTTGGCGAACACCATCACCAAAAGACCAAATTCTTCCATCTCATTGCCTTACGCCTGTGTTCTTAGTCACATCTTTTGTACTCATTCTATTGGTATTTCTTTTAATTTTCTTGTACCCCTTGGAGCAAGCTTGATTATACCTCAATTAAGAAAATGGGATTTAAATTTAAAAATGGAAATTGAGTCAAAAAATCGTGATGACGCTCATCCGGTTAGTGATCTTGTTACTCATGGAGTCAATGCACCCGATTATGTTGCTCATCCACGTCCTTCCATCACCTTAGACTCACTCTATAACTACATGGCCACTCGTTTTGATGAAGTTCTTCATCATGTAAATAGTCGCTTTGATGCCATGGGTGCTAGTATTGTTGCTTTGGAGGCTCACTTTCCGGGCTCGTTTCCTCATTCAGGTCTATCTTTCTCTTCTCATCTAGATATTGAAGATTGATCATTTGTACAATTTATTGTATTTTTAGTTTTTTTATATTTTATGATGAATATTTTTATACTATTTTGGATATTTTGTTGAATATTTTATTGGATGTTTTTAGTACATTTGATTAATACATTGCATTGATTAATTTGGCTATTATTAGTTATCTTGAGATTATTTTTTATTATGCTTTAATCTTGTTTCTCTCTTGTAGTTTGATATAACAAAAAGGGGAGAAAATTCTAGTCAAAATTTTTTTTACCAATTTTTTCATTTTTTCAATTCACTCTTAAATACATTGCATTGATCAATTTTGTTATTATGCTTTAATCTTGTTTCTTCAAAATTTATTTTTGACAAATTTTTTACAATGCTTTTTTGTTATATAAAAAAGGGGTAGATTGATAAATGTAAATAAATAATTTTAATATAACAAAGGAAAAATTAAAAATTTTATAAAATTGTATTTTATCTTATTCGATGAAAATTTTTCAAGATTGTAATAATAATTTTATAGGATCAAAATGTCAAAAATAGATTTAAAAATGTTTTTGGAATTTATAAAGTCTTAAAAATGTGTTTGAAATATGACATAAGGCTAATTTTTTAAGTTTTTAAGCTTGGTTTCAAAATCCCCTAGGTTATTTCGAAACCCTAAGGCAGTAGCTAAAATTGGCCTTAAGGTTACGAAATGCCCTGTTCAACGGTTAAATTTTTTAAGCGAGGTTTTAAAACTCCTTGGGTGATTTCGAAACCCTTATACAAATTTGCATTGAATGCATAAATTTATTGCTCCAAAATCTCTCCAATAACCCCAAATGACTAGAAATCAATAAGGACATATATGAGAGTTCTTCAACCAACCAAGAAGAGATAAGAAAGCTATTCTAATAGTCAAAATCAAAAGGAGCCAAATGTGTATTCATATTGTGTCTTTCTTACTTTGAACACTAGTTCACTCATTGTCAATTTCATTATAATGTTCTTGGGTGTGTGTGAGAGCTTTAATTTACAAACATTATATCCTTGTGAGAATTTTCAAAGTTTGCTTATTTGTAATTACTTCTTGGGAAGGGTTGAACACTCAAAACTTTGGGGTATAAGTCTTAGTGTTGTGTAAGGTTACACCTTGTCCTAAAAGGTTAGAAAAAATGAGTGAATTTGTTGAAATCCTTAGTTAAGAAGCTAAGGTAGTGGATATATACTTCAATAAGGAAGTTGAACCACTCTAAAATCTTTGTTTCAATTTTTCAACTTTCTTGCTTAAGCTTCCAACATTTGTTTTATTACCAATTCACCCCCTCTTGGCCACTTTCCTTGATCATTTGACTCAACAATTGGTATCAAAGAAAGGATCATTGGAAGGTCTTAATACCTCTTGAGAAGATCTTAGAATATTCAAGTCATCATTCAAGTCATCCTAGGCCTTTACACTAAGTTTTGACATTATCAATGATACCCAACCTATCAACAAGCCTTCATACTTCAATGAAGCCAACTATGCCTATTGGAAGAATATAATGATTTTTCATCCTAGCAAATGAGTTGGGAGCATGGAGAATCATGATGAGAGGACATGTAATACCCAAATCTGAATAAAATGAAACCCGATGGGTTTGGACATTACACGGGACCACTGAAGTATTTAACCCATTTTTTTTAAATATTTCATTTGTCAAAATATAATACATAACATTTAAGCAAATAGTGTAAATAAATAAGTTTACAAAATGGGGGAGCTCCCAAAAATAAATATCAAATACTATATTGTAAGAGTTATGACTTGAATAAAAAGGTTCTATGAATATACATGCCCACTAAGATAAACAAGACATACTCTGTTGTTGCAGGTATTTGAAATCTAACTGAGTGGTAATAAGATGTCGAGTCTGGCACCTACTAACTCATGAATGAAAAGAATTCGAGCTTAATGCCCCATAAACGAGTCCACTATACTACATTCATCCATTAACTACGAATGCTTATCAAGTTAAGCCATGCACATCGAAATGTATTAAGCATAAATCATCACATGAGGATATGTAAAAAACTATCAAAAGAGTCATAATCTGGGTTTGCCATTAAATCATAAAAGTTCCTTAGAACTAATACTAAAGTGCCTCAGGATTGATACAAAAGTGCATTCACATTAATATAAAAGTCCCACAAAACCAGGAAGAGAATCCAGATAACTCTACATACATATTCGATTGGTAAATGCATACACTCAAGAGATTGGGGAGTCTTCAGTGTTTTCTGAGCATAAAAAAGGGGTAGTTTTATGCCACATATTTTATTGTTGTTGTTCATAAGGGTTTGAATTAACTTTCTCACTTATAGTATTGTTTATGAATCCTTGATGCCCCCATAATCCCCTTTGTAAGCTTCCGAAGTTAGCAAAGTTTTCTGCCCAAAATAGGACGTCAATACTGATACTGAGTCTGTCAGTATTGACACTGGCCTTAGTATTGATACCAATTTTAGCTTCGGTGTTTCAATTCAATTCCTAGTGTCGATACCCTGATGGAGAGTATTGATACTCACCCATTGGTATCGATACTCACCCATTGGTATCGATACTCCTACGAGTATCGGTAGTAAAATTGTATTATGGAATCCTCAAATGTCCATAAGTATCAATACAACCCTCTGAGTATCGATACTGAACCCCAAGTATCGATACTCCTTGAAGGGTTATCAATACTCACCCTCAAGTTTTCCCCGTTATTGCCTTATACGAAGAACAATATCAATATTGTGCTTACGGTACCAATACTAAAGGACCTGAGTGCCCTGTTTAGGCACAAAAATGAATTCCTAAGGTCCTTCACAAGCCCTTTAAAGACTACAAAGTGTTTGTTAAGTCTTATGAGGTTTATTAACACCAAAATGAGTTATTTAAACACAACATAAACACCAACCATGTATGTTACCATTAGATCTCGTTTTATACACATAAACTCATCAAGCAAGAAAACAACAATTTATGATGTACACAAGGTAGAGGGGAGTTATTCATGTGTTTCCTTAGCTCTAGATGATAGGAGAAGGCTCCAAGAATCACTTAAGAACCAATTTATCCTTGCCTTTAGCCTTTGAGCACTATCCAAGTTCTTTCACTATCCAAAGCAAATAAAGAGATTAAAATATCGTTTTAAGCCTCTAAAATGGTTAGAAAAATGTTTTTAAATATTTTGGAACAACTCAGAATCATTCCCAAGCCCTAGAACCAAAACCTCTCTAAAACCCATATTTTGTCAACATAGGTGAACCCACTGATTTTTAGATAGAAATAGAGCTCTAAGGTAGGGAGTTGCTATTCTTACCTTCAAAATCTAAAACAAGTTTTGCAAGACATTAAGCTTCCACATATGAAGCTTAAAAGAGGAGGAAGATGAAGAAGGTTGAGAGGAAAAAAAGACAAAAGGTAAGGAAGAATTAGATAAGTGTTTTCAGCTTTTCTTTCTAGTATACATCATCAAATTGTAATGAGAATTAGTTTATTTTAAAAAAGAGTCTAATTACTCTCTTGGTCCCTCATTTTTATACCCAAATAAAAATACCCTTTTTAACACCTTATAGGCTTCCTACAAACCCAATTCTTTCACTCTTGACCCAATTAAACTAAGTTAGCTTCATATAAGCACTCTGAGCCTAATGACAATATCTGAAACTACTAACTTGATTTTTAGGGTGTTACAACTCTCCCCTCCTAAAGATAATTTCATTCTAAAAATTTTCCTGATTCGAACAAATGTGGGTATTGTAGTTGCATGTCCCCTTCAGTTTCCTATGTTGCTTCATTTACTCTATGATTCCTCCATAAGACCTTAACTAGTGGAATGGTTTTGTTTCTTAGATATTTGACCTCTCAGGCCATGGTCATTATTGGTTCATCAACGTAAGTTATATCTGGGGTCATTTTAATCTGCTCCAATGGAATCACATATGGTGGGTATATATGGTACCTCCGAAGCATGGACACGTGGAACACATTGTGAATGCACTTCATCTCAGACGATAAAGCTAGTCGGTAAGCTAGAGGACCTATTCTCTCGAGAATCTCATAAGGTCCAATAAAGCGTAGAGTCAACTTCCCCTTTTGGCCGAATTGAAGTACCTTTCTCCAAGGTGACACCTTAAGGAACATCTTATCGTCTATATTGAACTCTATGTTCTTCTGTTTCAGATCTGTATAAGACCTCTGTCTGTCAAAAGCTTCCTTAATTTGACCCTGAATCATCTATACATTATCATTTACCTCTCGAATCAATTCTAGACCAACCATTTTCTTTTCACTAAGCTCAGTCCAATACAAAGGAGTCCTACACTTTCACCCATGCAATGCTTCGTAAGGTGCCATCTGAATGCTAGTTTGGTAATTGTTGTTGTAGGCGAATTCGACCAATAGAAGGTGACCTCCCAGCTACCTATAAAATCAATGACGCATCATTGCAAAATATCCTCTAAAATCTTTATAACCATCTCTGATTGTCCATTCGTTTGCGGGTGGAAGGCATTGTTAAAATGTAACTTAGTCCCTAAGGCCTAATACAACGCCTTCCAAAACCTTGAAGTGAATCGTAGGTCCCTGTCAAAAATAATTGACGTGGGTACCCCATGTAGTCTCAGAGTCTCCCTGATGTAGAGATGTGCTAACGTTTCCAAAGTGAAATCCATTCGCACTAGTAGAAAGTGGGTGGATTTGGTCAATTGATCCATCTCTACCCAAACGACATCGTACTTCTCCGAGTCTTCGGTAACCCTATAACGAAATCCATAGTTACCCTATCATATTTCGATTGAGGTATTTGGATTAGTTGAAGTAAATCGGAGGGAATCTGATGTTCTGTCTTTACTCACTGACAAACCAAATACTTGGATATGAACTTATATACCTCTCTCTTCATACCCGGCCACCGGTACAATTGTCTAAGTTCTCTATACATCTTGTCACTTCTAGGGTGCACAAAAAGTATAATACAATGGGCTTCACCAATTATCCTAGCCTATAATTTTGTATTCGCTGGCACACAAAGTCAATTTTGAAAATACAACATGTGCCCATCTTTCAATTCGAACTCTGAAACCTCACCTCGATGGACTCGCTTTGCGCTAGCCATCAATCATTTATCTGACGCTTGTAGTCCTTTCACTTCCCTAACTAACTTCAGGTCAACCCAAATTTTTGTAAATAAGCCTCCATCTGAAGTCAAACTCATATGAGCTAACAGTGCTTGGAGGTTGGTCATCGACTTAAAGATCAAAGCATCGACCACCACATTAGCTTTTCCCGGTTGAAAATATATAACGTAGTCATAATCCTTAAGCAGTTTGACTCAACGACACTGGCTAAGATTTAGCTCATTCTGGGTAAGTAGGTACTTGAGGCTCTTATGGTCGGTGAAAATGTAGCAATTTTCCCTAAAGAGATAATACCTCCAAAAATTTTAAAGCAAACACCACTGTGGCCAACTTTAGGTTATGGGTGGGGTAATTACGTTCTTGCGGTTTAAGCTGTCACAAAGCGTATTCTACTACCTTTCCCTCTTGCATAAGGACACACCCTAATCCATTCAACGATGCATCGCTAAACACGGTGTATTCTTTCTTGGTTCAGGTTGCGTTAAGACCAGTGCTTGAGTACAAATTTCCTCTAACTTGTCAAGGTTCTGCTCATGATTCTGATTCCAAATGAAGGGCTCATCTTTTTGAAGAATATTGGACACAAGAGAGAAAATCATAGAGAATCTTTTCACAAAGAGACGATAATACCCAACAAGTCCCGAAAACTACACACCTCAGATACATTTTTTTGGTGGCTTCTATTTTAACACAAGTTGAATCTTTTGGGGATCCACTCGAATACCCTCGATGGTCACCACGTGGCCCAAAAATAAAACTTCAGATATCTAAAACTCACATTTGTTGAACTTTGCATACAATTGACATTCCTTGAGCATTTTGAGTACAATCCAGAGGTGGCGATCAAGATCCTCCTCTGACCAGGAGTAAACTAAGATGTCTTCGATGAACACTATGATGAACTGGTCCAAATAAGGGTGGAACACTCGATTCATCAAGTCCATACCTATGAGTGCATAGGGTAAGTCCAAATGTCATCACCATAAATTCGTAGTAACCATATATTATCCTAAATGCCATTTTAACCAAATCCTCATCCTTGACCTTCAGCTAGTAATAATCCAACCTTAAATTTATCTTAGAGAACACTCTAGATCCTCTAAGTTGATTAAACAAATTATCTATCCTTGAAAGCGAATATCAATTCTTGATTGTTAACTTGTTCAATTGGCGATAGTCGATACATTACCTGATTGACCTATCCCTCTTTACAAATAACATTGGTTCCCCCACGATGATATACTTGGATGAATGAACCCTCGATCCAAAAGCTCTTGAATATGTGCCTTAATCTCTTTTAACTCGGTTGGTTCCATGCGATACAAAGCGATAAACATCGAGGTCGATCCGGAAAACACCTCAATGCTGAATTCTAACTCGCGAAGTGGTGGTAATCCAGACAACTTTTCTAAAAATACCTCGGGGAAATCCCTCATAGTACAAATGTCTTCGAATTTCAAGCTCGAGACTCGGGTTTCTATCACATAGGTTAGGAACGACTTACAACCCCGACTGACTAATTTCTGAGTAGCAAAGGCTGAAATGATTCTGGAAGTACCATGGAACTAGCCACCATCCATCACTAATTTGATCTTATCCTCGCATCTAAGTTTAAGTTTTCTAGCCTTGCAATTTAACCTTGCATCATGCTTGGTCAACCAATCCATCCCTAGGATTTCATCGAACTCTCGAAAAGACAGCACTATAAGGTCAGTAGAGAAGACTTGACCTTGAATTTCTATAGTACACTTACGGTAGAACTTGTCCACAAGCACATCTAGTCATAAGGTGCTTGAAACTCTCATATTAATTTTAAGATCATCTGACGGGATACCCTATTCTTGTACAATATCATGACATAAATATGAATGAGTAGAACCAGGATCATCAATGCTGTAACTGGAGTACCATAAATAGTAAATACACCTAAGATGACGTCTGTTGTCTTACAATCCTCTTGGGCCATCACTACGTATTGCCTTGAAGTGACCCTAGCCTTAGGACCGACAACGGATTGGGTAGTGCCCTTACTCCATTGTCCTACTACTGAGCTACCACCTTTATGGATTGATCCTCGACCTCTCTGAATCAACTAAGATGATATCTGAGGAGTTGGCGGCACTATACTACCTCCCTCAGGGCAGTCTCTAACAAAGTGCTCCAGTGACCCACAACCGAAGCAAGCCTTAATAACCTAATAACACTACCACGAATGCCACTTCCCGCAATGCTTGCACTGTAGGGGCTGAGCTCCTTTACCAGAACCTCTGGTGCTCACCATAAAGATTGATGTCAAAGGTATTGTATGCTTTTTTTATCCATGATAGCGTCTAGAACTCTGTCCAATCTTCCTGGAATGCGATGGTGGGGACCTCCCTCCACCAATAAAGTCCCTGGCCTTTTTTGCCGAAGATTGGGATGGCCTTGAAGAATCTGGTGCTCTCTGGCCATGACCTACCAAATGACCCATTATACTAGCCCTCTTCAGTAGAATCCTCTCAACCATCTTGTCCTAGTGGGTCAGCTCTACAAAAACTCACGAGGATCAGCAGGTAATTGGGTGAGGATATCGATGTGGGTCCTTCGATAATGGTGGTACTCTGTCGCCACTAACTCAGACGTATATAGACTCAGACGAAGGAAGTTGTGCTCATACTCTATCACTAGTTAGTTCCCCTGGACGAGATGTTGGAGTGGTCTCTCGGATCATCTGCATACATCTTCTTGATATAATTCTACCAGAAATCCTCCAAGAAAAGCTCCCATGTTAGTTTCTCATACTCTAAAGGTAGCTCGACTCTCTTTCACTAGTCGATGAAATCACCATTTACAAGAGCGATGACATACTCGAACTTACCTTCTGGGGTAAGATGCAACTGTCTTAAAGTGTGGAGGTCTCACAAAGCCACTGATCAGTGGCTATCAGATCATCCTCACTAGTACCATAAATTTGTGTTAGTAGATGACTATTCTAGTATATAACTATTATAGATTCACATAGGTTTTCTTTTTAAGTACTAAGGATGAAGCTTTATAAAAATCCATCACTATTTCAAAAATAAACCAAAATGAAAAAGGTTACTTAATTTATAGTGTTAGGAGTGACCATGAAACCAAATTTGAAAGTCTTGACTTTGATAAATTTTGTAACTCCAATAGAACTAGCCATAAATTTTCAGTTCATAGAATCCCTCAACAAAATAGAGTTGTTGAGATGAAAAATAGAACTTTAGAGGAAATGGCTAGGACCATGCTTTGTGAAAATAATTTGCCAAAGTATTTTTGGGTGAAATCTACAAATACCACTTGTTATGTGATTAATAGAGTAATGATTATGCCTATTTTAAAGAAAGCTCTATATGAACATTTCAAAAATAAAAAGCCTAACATTAGTTATTTTCATCCTTTTGGATAAAAGTGTTTTATTTTAAATAATGGAAAATATAATCTTGGAAATTTGATGCAAAAAGTGATGAATGAATTTTTTGGGTTATTTTTCAAATTCTAAATCTTATCAGGTAAAAGAACTACTGTGGTAGAAGAGTCCATAGATGTTGTTTTCAATGATAATCTCTTTTCGAGGAATGATTCTTCTGTTAACGATGATGTAGGTATCTTAAATCTAAATGGAAATGATGATGAATCATTGAAAGAAGCAAAGAATGAGGATACTCAAGATTCCCTCAAGAATCTAATTTTAGAAGAAATGGAGGTCTCATACCCAAAGGAGTACAACTATGGCAAAAATGGAGAAATTTTGGGTGATCTATCCAAAGGGGTAACCCACTAGATCTTCTCTTAAGAATATTTGTAATTATGTTGCATTTATCTCATGAATAGAGCCTAAGAATGTCAAAGAAGCATTAAATAATTAACATTGGATTATGGTTATGCAAAAAGAGTTAAATCAATTTGAGAGAAGTAAAGTATGGACACTAGTTTAAATGTCTTGTAGTAAATCTACTATAGGTACTAAATGAGTTTATAGAAACAAACTAGATGAGAGTGGTAACATTATGAGAAATAAAGCTAGACTAGTTGTTCAAGGTTACACTCAAGAATAGTGAATTGATTTTGATGAGACATGTGCTCATGTAG